CCTGTCTGCGGCCACATTAGACCGAATAAATTCTGCTCCATATAACCGTTTTTATATTTTGGTGAGGCGTTATAGACCCAATGATAACCCTCACCAAAATATAAAAAAGGTTATTATGTGACAGGAATTATTCGGTCTACCGCGCCCGTAGGCTATTACAGGGTCTATGCCCGCCGGGTACTGCCGGAACGTACCCTTGGTACAGGGCTCGAATTAAGCGACGAGAAGGGCAAGGCAATTTTTTTAGGCATGTGACGAAAATCGCTTGAATTTTTCTCTAAAATAAGCAAAAGGCACAAGGGCAACTCTCAATATTTGAGAAGCGGCACCAAGGCACTTGTAAAATAAAGGAAAAACTCATAACAAATTAGTTACATCAACATCATCTTGCTTTTTTAATGTACAAAACATTTAATATGCCCCCATGTTAAGCTTTACACCGTAAACACCGCGAACCCCCCCCTGTTTTTAAACCCACCTCTGCTAGATGGAAGTTACACTAACAAGAAATCTTTACAATGGCCCGGATATCAGGAGTGCGAATAATTATCCGATTGCTGTTATTATTCCCTCCTGGCGACTATCGGTTTTTAGCCCTCATCATTGCAACTACGGCACGCACAGCGCACGTGTTTATGGTTGATTTGACTAAAACGGAAACTAGGGCAGTAGATTAAAGGGCAACCGACGGGCAATTACACAAAAGGGGAGGCAGCAGTGACTGCCGTCGCTTCGGGTTGGATTTTCAGGGCGGGCCCCAGTACAGGCAATTGCATAGGTGGCACCGACGGCAATTGCTTCGGTGCCGTCGCGTTATTCAGAGCCTGCTTGGTAACTAATCTAGATATGGTGAGCGGTTAAGCGTTAGAGGTTAGGGATGTGTAGGCGTAGGCGACTGTGCCTGTGGTAAGGCGTAGTGGGAGTAAAGCGGCAGTACGAGTCCGTCATATTTAATATTTAGATAGTACCAGCAAGAGCATATAAAGTCACAGATTGATTTTATGCATCATGGATAGATATAATTAATGTAACCCAGAGGATAGGGGGTATCTAATCCTCTTGGGTTTTGGCGTTACATTATTGATATCTAATGCTCTGGCTACCAGGGATACGTTTCCGGTAGTACCCTGGGGGGACACTAGACCCTCCCTAGCCACAAATAGCTTCTACTCTAGTACTATAAGCCCGCTTTCATTTAACTGCCGCAAGGCGGTCGGACATGCACTGTTCTGTACGGGGTGGCGCGATGCAGGACAGGGGCGTCAATTTTGATTTAACAAAACTCAATTTCTGTCTCACAAAAACTCAAATTTTGTGAACACAAACTCAATTCTGTCATCCCAATGTACCACAAAAACTCAATTTTGTAAACACAACTTCAATTCTTGTTCAATTCGCGTTCGACACAAAAAACTCAATTTTGTGAACACAAACTCACATTCGTGTCATATCCTGCTTCCACAAACTCAATTCTGCTCGAACCGGTTGCCACAACTCAATTTGTGTTAAACACAAACTCAATTCTGTCGAACCGGTTCCACAAAACTCGATTTTGCTTGCCCAAAATATGGCACACGCATGTAAGAAGGGCTACCATTGTTCAGAAGACCAATGTACCCTTGTACATGCGTGTGCCATATTTTGGGCCAACAAATTGAGTTTTGTTGGACTCGGCTCGATCAGAATTGAGTTCTTGTGGAACCGGTTCACAGAATTGAGTTTTGTGTTTACAAATTGAGTTTTTGTGTTGTACAGAAAAATGAGTTTTAGTTGAACAGTTTGACAGAATTGAGTTTCCCTGTGTTCACAAAATTGGGTTTGATGGGACAGGCATTACAGATTGAGTTTTGTGGCTTCACAAAAACTCAGTTTGCTCAAGTTTGCTATAGGTTACAAAAATGCCGTCCTGCATGGCGCCCCGTACTTGGCGCCGTTCAATAATAAAATGATGCGTTGAGTAGCCTCACTGTCAGTACTAGACCTAGGCAGTATTCGATAGGTTTGATTTTACTTAATAACTTCACTTCAATACCGTCCAATACACCGCTGCAACACACATTCCTATAGCGCGCACGCCATTGTGCACAAATACACAGTAGGATAGAGAAGGTAAGAAAGCATCCGCACAGAAATTCCAGAACGCTCGAATCTTTTCGCAACATTACAGCAAAAATATACAACAAATTGCCACGAATCTGTGTGTAGCTGAATGGTCACTTGTTCGAAATATCTGTCTTGCAACTTGGTACCACATACTTTACCCAGAATTATATGAGAGATCCTGCTCGAATTTGCCGCGAATTTCCCACGGAGCCGTTTCTTAAATGGGAGCAATACATGAGTAATGGTGGCGCATTGCATTCTGGGAGGTGTTGCATCCGCCTGCCCAACTCCAAGACGAGCCACGCCGGCGCTGTCAAGGCGAAGTGACATCACACGGGCGACTACTGTGATTAGTAGGGATCTAATAGCGCGGTTATGGATTTTCGGATTTTTGTTCCCATTTACAAAATGGCTCCGTGGGAAATTCGCGGCAAATTCGAACAGGATTTCTTATATAATTCTGCGTAAAGTATGTGGTACCAAGTTGCACTTGCCTTCTGAACGACACTGCGCGAGCGAGCGCGCGCAAACTCCAAAGGCTGTTCTCGCAGCGCGCGAGTTGTTTACAAGATGGCGACGGGGAATCTGGCGAATGGGAATCTAACATTTCTGACTTCAATTTGCAATCTATTTCAACTTCATTTCATTTTTTATTCATTCATTTACTTCTAAATTCAATTCGTATCAATTTCGTCTGCTAATTTGTTTAACAGTACTTGTTCGAAGACATTAAAATCTCACGATTAAAATATGCTGAGTAACCCTCCATGGGGGCCGCTATCTTGGATAAAGCCAGCGCACAGCGAGCGCTCGTGTGTCGTTTAAAGCGATTATTGCGAGAATTTTCCAGTGTTTTCCCCACTTTCATGATACCTACTGTTATTGCTCGAGTAACAGCAATTGTCTAGAATAACAATAAAATGTCTTAGAACCTTCGAACCACCGAAAACTGCCAGTTTCGAACTTATCGTTTTTGTAAACATTCGTTTTCTGTCATCTTGAACTAACAGGAAGTATGCATTAGCTTGTGGCGCCACCGCTTATCTGCCATACCCACAGTGAAGGCACGCACTTGTTTTCAATTCATCACCGACACAAATACAAGATTACCAATTCTGCCATTAGGCATTGTCGCAACATGATAAAATGCATTGCTGTTACGATGTGTTCATATCCAATTTTCTATGCTATAACTGCAGAAAATCGTAGTATTTTTAATGTTGGTGTAATCAGTGATATTTTCGCCGTCAGGTGAGACTATATTCAGCTATATTTAGTTTTTCTGAGCAAAAATCTCGCAATAGTCAGTTTAAGAGGCGCTGCGTTCGTGCATCGAGCGTTCGCATTGAGCTCACGCTCTGTTGAACACGCCTCTGGTATGCTGAAACTACGGGCGCATTCGCATTAACTTCCGTTATAAACAACCATGCTTCTAAATAACGCTGCAGCATACACTATCAGTACGTGTAATTTCGATAAGATTTTCAGTAAATTTGACTCTTATACTTGGTATGTTTCATTGTGAATATTAAATATGATACTAGATGTCGAAAGTGACAAAAAATCGATCTACTTTCGCTTTCTTTCTTTGCAATTTGCAATGGTTTAATGATGTTTTATTTAATGAAAGTGGAGTGCTGTAAATTATTGATAGGTCCAACGGACTTTCTGCTTGGAAATTGCGAAGGTCCGAGCATGAAATCGGCAGGTCCCACACTTTGGACTTGCCCTATTTTCAGCCCTTGCTTATGAAGTTGGGAGCTGTGTATAGCCACACACATTGTGTATACTCCAATTGCTGCTCACATACATCCAATTTTCAGGTCATGGTTTTGGCATGTTAGTAAGACCATCGTAGCCGTCTTCGCTGCTACATACGTTGGAATTCCTGTTTTAATCACCATCTTCCCGAAGCTAATCCAACATGCTGTCTTCCTGAACATGGGTGTGTATTTTATATCTGTCTATTATAGTTCATGTGAAAATGTGGAGGAGTAAAATATTTATGATGCTTTAACCTGATTACATTATAGACAGCTCACTTACTAAATGAATTGTTATCTGATTGCTCATGTCACTATGTGAAGCATAGACTGCAATAAATAGTGTTTCTGGTCCTGCAAGAAATAAGAAAATATCAGTGCAAGTAATACATGTAAACCAGTGTTTCCCCTGGCCAAAAAGGTCTGTGAGGTGGTAATTTTGTTGGTGTGTTTGTGCGTTTCGAGGTCCTAGCAAAGCGAGCACCATATGTGCTCGCCCAGCTAGGGAGGTCCGGAGGCGTGCCCCCTGGAAATTCTTTGAAAAAATGGTGGAATTTGGTGCATTCTAAGCTATTCTGAACACATTGTATGAGATTTTCGTCAGCGAGGCAGTGTTTTGGACAAATTTCTGTGTGGCGGCTAAGAATTTGAGCGAGGTGGCCCGCCTCGCTCATGTCAATGCAGGGGAAACACTGTAAACTATATATATTGAAGACATGTTATACACATTGTGTCAGGAGTAAGATAACATGAAGAGTGTATATTAATAGAACCTGTTATTATACACTCCTGATAACATTATATCATCTTGTTGGCAGTATTTCGTTTCTTTTACATCTGCTGGTGCGATACTTACAGTTCATCACCTCTCTGTTGCTGCATTTCTTTCTACCATACTGAAATTTTTTCTTGTAAAAATAGAGGAGTTATATCATTGTGTATGTTTAAATCAGTGAAGTCATTGCAAAACTCTGTGATTGCAGTTGCATGGCCACCATTCATAGACCTTAGCATGCCAGAGTTACATGGGTTGCCAGCAGCTTGTGCCTTCTACTTAGAAAGTGAGCCAGGTGTCACCCTAGGAGTATGGTAAGTAATTATAACTTCCTTCCAAAACTAAATGGTGGCTGTCACTATTTGCAGTGGATACAATATTTATCATTTATTTATTTAGTGGACTGTGCTTGATAGCTCTTGAAATAGAAGCTAACCAACTGAGTGCCATCTAGCCACAGGTTTCTGAAATCTACTTTCTTAGATGGTTTCACTCTGTAACTCCATTGAACATGTTGAATGGAAATTTTAAGTGTCCTCTGTGCTCTTGTACTCTTGTAATTCGCCTATTGAGGCTTCTCGACATATATTCATCAAGATCATAACTTCCAATCGATAGAAATCTCAAGAGTGTTTTATAGACACGTGTCTGTATTGTGGAGGGTTTCAATGTATAGTCAACCTTGTACTAATATTCACCTATTTAGGACAGATACCTGTTTATAGAGCATAATTTTGTCATTTTCTTGAGTGACAGTTATTGCGTGAATCCACCTTTATAGAATTTATGAACACCACAAGAATACTTTTGTCATTACCTCCGCCAGGGGCTTGGCGGGGGTTATGTTTTCACCGGCGTGTGTTTGAGTGTTGGTTTGTGGGTTTGTTAACATGAACGTTTCAGTTCACTTCCGCTAGGTGCGCTGGCTGTAGACTTACAAATTTACATTGAGAGAATTCAGCTGCCTTGACAGAGGTCTGTGCTCTCCGAGTGCTCTAGTTTCCATTGATTCAATGCTATATATATAGGTGTGACTGTAACTACCACTCAAGAAAAATACCAAAAATTTTCTTTATAGACAGGTCGCGATTCTATACAGGTGACCGCTAACACAGGTTCAATTGTACAATCAATTTACTCCAGTTATACATATATTTAGGCATATTTTACCCAAGAATCTGGCCAAAGAGTCTAAACCTTCTGAGGACTACTGTGAACTTTTACTGGGCGATAGTCAACCTGTGATTCTCTACTTACATGGCAATGCTGGTACAAGGTAAAAGCAAGTGTCATTAATAGCGTGAATCGATAAGCAATCATTGCATTATACTAGAGTTTTAAATGGACCGGTAACATTCGTGTCTACTGTCTATACACAGACAATACTCTCCCCTACCTATTATTTTATATGGACATTGTTTTTTCACGTTTACTGACACTAGGTGGAGCCACGTGACGGTCTGCACACATTTTCCTGCATGACTGCCCACTCATAGCCGCTATCACATTGTCTCATTTATATCTCATTTATCGTTCATTTATCTTTCTCTCTATCTATCTATCTATCTTTTCCCCTCTCTCTCTCTGGCTCTCCCTGATTCTCTATCGCTACTTCTATCTATTCCTTTCTATCTCCTTCGCCATCCTCCCCCATCTTTCCCTATCTCCCCCGCCTTTCTCTCTCTCTCTCTCTCTCTCTCTCTTCTCTCTCTCTCTCTCTCTCTCTCTCTCTTCGCCCGCTCTCTCTCTCTCTCTCTCTCTCTCTCTCTCCATGTCTACGTCCGCTCCCGCCCTCTCTCTCTCGCGCGCGCTCTTTCTCTCCCCCTCTCTCCGTGTGAGAGACTCTTTCTCTCTGTATCCATTCGCTCTCTCCCCCCCTCTCTCTCTCTCGCTCTCTCTTTTTCGCTTTCTCGCTTTTTCGCATTCACGTGAGTTCATGTATATTTCTTTGTACTTTCAGAGCAGGCTACCATAGAGTACAAATCTATAAGATGCTCTCCGATCTCAATTTCCATGTCATCGCTCTTGACTATAGAGGTCAGCACCTGATAATAAAAAAATCATCATCATGCTACATAGATCTAAAAGTCAAACTTTATTGACTTATTATAAAGAATCATTATTATGATCATTACCTCCTCCAAGGAGGTTATGTTTTAGCCCCTGTTAGTTTGTTTGTTGGGTTGTTTGTCTGTAAACAGGATATCTCAAAAAGTTACGGACGAATTTTCATGAATTTTTTTGGACGGGTTGGTCTTGGGCCAGCAATCAATCGATTAGATTTTGGTGGTGATCTGGATCCAGGATTTGTTTTGTGGGGAAGACTTGGGACGCATTCAAAATTCATATTAAAAAAATCCTGGATCTTTTTTTTCAAGTTTCTGAAAATGTCATCAAACTCTATATTGGGTGTACCAGCAAGATGGGGGACTGTTACGCTGTGGCAGAGGTTTGCTATCTCTGATTGCTCTTGTTATTATTATTAAACTTTATTGGAAATACACAGTGTGGCCTACTACTATGTAAATAAGGATGTGTAACTATAGTTATATTTGGTGCAAATATTTTAAATGAAGAAAGTATAGTATAATGCAATAATTTTATTCCAGGGTTTGGTGATTCAACTGGTTCACCTACCGAAAAGGGCATTAGTGACGATGCCATGTACATCTACCGCTGGTTAGAAGAAAGAGCGGATGAAAGCAAGATAATTATTTGGGGCCATTCACTTGGAACTGGGTATACTGTTCACATAGCTTAGATTTTCCCAGAGGTATAAGCCAGGCATTTGAGGGCACCTTAAATATGATAAGCAACAAGTGCACGAAATTTGTCTGATTGTTAGGGTATTCAGTGATAATTCTATCTGAGATGCATTCGAACTGCTGAGTGAAGTGCCTCCCTAGAATTAAGCGTGAGGGTTGTGAAGGTTATCTATGTAACTATGACAGAATTGAAATGCTGGCAACACAGAAAGTGCCATTTTCGTACGAGACATTATAGTATATCAACAGTAGAGTCATTTACATTTGAATGGCTGTGCATTGTAGGATGTGCTGGAAGTTACAAAAAGCATGTTTTCCATTGATATTTTTGCTAGTAGCTCTCAGGTTTCTTGCGGAAGACACAATAGCAACGGTTCAGTTGTTGCATTATTCACCTACATGCAACCTGTGGTCAGAACCTGAATGTCTTTAGAGTGAGTTGATGCTCCTTTGCTTGACCTTCACAGGCCTGACACCATGGCTACAGCACAACATGGCTTATACAATAGGATACAATAATATAGGATTATACAATAGGATGCACTATTAACCTCGTTCCATTCTCACTTGCCCTCATAATTAACTAATTACAGTTGGAAACTAGAGAAGCAATTGACTGTAAATCACAGCTAGTGTAGAGAATAATCTCAAATTGTTATCATGTACTCACTGCACGACTGCGTAATTCATGTGTAAGGTAAATGCTACACGTGGTTCTCTGCCAAGCCATTATTACTCACGAAGGCCATAATATTTCACAGCACTGCAAGATCGGTTCAGCAGGTTGTAAGACTATATTTCGTTCTAAGACCGGGCCCCGGTATCGGCTGGTGTCAGGTCAGGGGCTGTAACGTTTAATGTATAAGTAAGGGAGCGCGACGAAATTACATAGTGTGACATGCAAAGGGCCGATGCTTCTTTTGTCGTGGTGTATCCCTGGCATTGACACGCATAATAAACGACGCATAGGTGATGAGTTCGCACACAAGATTGTACTGCTGTCAAGGTTGGCAGGCTAGTCAGGGTGAGTAAGGAGGGTATTTATATGATCCGTCCTTCCCGCACATGCAAGGCTGTCACACTCGCCTGCACCGATGTAACCCATTGTAGGCGCAGGCAGGCAGTTGCGCTTGTCGCTGCTCTGTCATCGCCGTTTGTCCTCATGTGGGACAGGTGTGACTATGTTAGTGTGTCACCAGTACAGGACTGTTACGTCCATTGAGCACTCTGTGGCCTAATAACTTTGCAAGTTACTCTGTTTGTAAGAATGATGATGTAACGTTTTCGCTTGAAAACTTTTCGCTTCAATGGATTGGGTTGCATTGATTGTGTACACACACAAACAAGTATGTGAAACAATAGACAAATGGATAGGCCGATAGACTGACAAACAGACTGAAACAAAAAGACGGCTGGATGGACATATATTGATGTATTGCTGGAATACAAACAAATGATTACAAGAGCAGGACAATTAGGTGTTGAATGAATCAGTATTTATGTGGGGAATACTAATTATCTGATTAGCTGAACTGTTTTAACAGAAAATATTTCTTTAATATCTACACTAGCACACTGCACTAAACTCTGAATTATAAAAAAATAAATATATATATCCAATGCTTGGTTGCTGAAATTTTCCAGTTTAGTTAATAATGGATATTTGATGAAAATTCAGTAAGTGTGATTGTAAGTGTCTTTCTCTCTGTTTCAGAGTTGCTACACAGCTCACTAAGCAAATTTGTGATTCAGGTAGGTGTTCTCTATGTTGATCATGATGTAACATGAAGACACATATAGGTGACATATAGGTGACATATAGGTGACATATAGGTGCTTTACCACCTCTATAGTTATCTTCATATTGCAAGTCTTATATATAACAACTTATATTGCAACAACTATATAAATGTGATATTTACCATTGAGCCTTTGTCATGTGAAATTAGTTGTTGGTTTACAGGTCGTGAAACATTTTTTAACTTTCTCTCTCTCTCTCTCTCTCTATATATATATATATCCGTTATTGCATCTCTTCCCGCTTTCTCTCTATCTCTTTCTCTGTCATTCTCTCCCCTACCCCTCTCTCTCTTTCCTTGTATCAGCCCTGTGTCCGTAATAAAACACTCGGGTAAGCATTCTGTGTAAACTGACAGACAGACATCACTCACGTGTGCTCTATTTTACAGGAGGGTGCCCTGCACGACTGGTTCTTGAGGCTCCAATAACAAGCATAATGGAAGTTGCCAGTGAGCATCCACTTTCCATGGTGAGTTCCTAGCATTTGTCGTCTCGAGTCGAGACAGCCTTAATACTGTTGAATGAAATTATGATTAAGGCAATGTTAGATAGTAATGTTAGAATAGGCTCAAGATGTGAATAGGTGTGATTGATTCATACAGTTAAAGTTATCATTTACTCTAAATTATCTTCAAAGTCACATCTGTGAATATGCCACATGTTGATCTGAAATTGTATCAATAGAAACAATTGTCTTTATATTGCTTAAATGTTTATATTCATTTGCAATGCCTTCTATAGTATGTTGCAACTGTTTGTTACAGCCGTATAAGTATTTACCGTTCTTCACACCCATATTTCTGGATGCCATCGCAAAGCATGGAGCATCGTTTAATAACACCGAAAAGTATGTGATCCTAATAACATTTTTATTTAATTCCTTAAGTAGCTTACAATGTTAAACTATCATTACACATTTTAGTAGATATTCAATTATCAATTTTTTAAATTAAGATTGAAAACTTGCTACATGGATGTTGCAATCTGCTGCTGTGATGTCTGCTAAACATGTGTTACGCCATGATTGGCACTTTTTCGGTGTCGTCTAGAAATGCTTTGTAATTGTAAATGTGTGTGTGTTTTAGTATTGCCAGTGTTCGGTGCCCCACAATAATCCTTCATGCCAAAGATGACCCCATTGTGCCATTCAAGTTTGGAGAAAAGGTAATAAATAAATACGATATTATAATTTTATCGCATACACTCAAGCCTGTATAATAGTCACTGAAGCGAAATGCCAAAAGCGTCCTTTATAGCCAGGTATGATTACATATTTCAGTGATCGATGAACGATCTTACATTGCTGTCTCAGGATTACAAACGTAACAAATACGTTATAACGAAGTCATTTTATAAACAAAACTGTTACTTTTTGATGTGTTACGCTGTTTTGCAACTGACAATAATACTTTTTAAGCATGTACAAATGTTGCACTTGGCAAATTTGTCGGCATATTGCCATGAGTCATATTGTCGTTCCGATGTGCTTCTAACGCTTTTGTTCGAACAGCTATTTCAGGCTGCAGAAAAGAGCCGACATTCTGAGTCAGAGCCAGTGCACTTTGTTGCGTTTGAAGATGGTAGAGGTTACTACCACAAGCACCTTCATCTTGCACCGGAACTACCTGCTATCATAGAGTAAGCACAGTGAACATGCTATATAACACCATGGAATCTAATCTGTAATCAGTATTGGGTATGCAATTTCCATTTTCTAGGTCACGGCAAGTGTTGTTTTTGGTTCAAACCCATCTTAGACGATCCACAAAATGCTAAGTTTCTTTTCTAAATAGGTGTCCTTTCTGTAGAGGTGACTGATAATGCATGTTAGACTCTGTATCTTTTGGGCCACAATTTAAAAATTCTTTGTTTGTCCTCACCCGACCCAGGCTGAAAAGTTTGGGTAAGTAGGTATAGGCTTTTTTGAGGAGGTTCTTTTTACAAATTCAGCATGGTGGCTATACATGCTCGGGTGTGCTTGTGTGGGGATACCTTTTATGTTGAATGTTTGTTTTGCTTGGTACATATAATGTACGTATTGCCTACAGATTTATATAATGTACAGTGATACAATTTGTAAAAAAAAAAGAATGGGAAAGATCAATAAAAGATTTTGAGTCGGCCGGGTTTGGCGGACAACCCCGATATAGATAGTACAAACAATATTTTTATTATGGCCCTGATCATGCATAATCTGCTGTCTGCAGACGCGAACAGCTTGTTTGTTGGCTAGCCACTGCCGACTGCCGCTACTATCATGCAGCCTCGAATGCAAACATCCACCGAAAATTTAATCAATGCCAACCCTCTGCTGCTGCGTGCCACATCTTCCCTGATGAATCATCGTTCAATACGTTTAGGAGTAGCCCAATTCGACGTAATAATGGAATCATTGAACTTGATGTTCTGCAATATATTCAAGGCTGGATGGCATTGACCAGCTGATCCTGCCTGCAAATCGTGTAAGCGCGTTGCTTAGGGTTGTTTTCCTTCTGCAGTAATTGCTGAACGAGTTAAAGCGAATATGAGTTCTCTCGACTCATTAGAGCCACCTGCCACCGAATCCTTCACTCGTGACGAGTGTGCATTATAGAAGGCTTAATCGTAGGCGAACACACAGGAAAATACCGATTAATGTCATGTGTACCACAGTCGAACAGTGCAGCATAATGGAAGAACACTGCGTAATCATTGTGTTCACTTCGATTGCAGTATGTTGTCTCCTTGCGATTGCCATACTTAATACTAGTCAAGATAATAGCTTGCATACACAGCATGACTGCAGAGTGGCGTGCAGCACATGCCAGCCGCTCCACATCTTTGCTTATAGGCAAAATGCAAAGGGTTCTGCCGTAGAATTCCGACAGGACGTACTGCAGTCCGGGTGCGTCAGCCTACTTCTGAGGCGAGAGAATAATCTCTCTAGTGGACCAGGGCCTGCCACACATATCTGATATGAGCGTGAAATTATCGGCGCGGTTGCCCTTTCTTCTGACAGCGGCACCTTATGTAATAAGCATTCAACTGTCTTGACCTGACTTCCTCGACAATTACCGGTGCCTTTGTTGAGTTTAACGCCCGCCCTCGTCCCTAGACACCTGTCAGCGCGCGCGAGAGAGATATAGAGAGAGAGATGGGGGAGAGAGAGAGAGAGATGAGAGAGAGAGAGAGAAGGATGACGTAGAGAGAAGAGTTAGAGAGAGAGCAGAAGACCGAGACAAGAAGTGTGAGATAGAGAGGAGAAGAAGAGAAGATGAGAGAGAGGAGCAGAGAGTAGCAGATGAGAGATGAGATGTTGACTTTGGGAGGCGACTGAGATGATTGCAGCTATACGCAGAGAAGACGATGCTTAGATGCAGATGAGAGAAGGAGTCGAGAAGACGAGATGATGAGAGAAAGCTAGTGAGAGAGGACACGAAATGACGGTTTAGGGAAGGAGAGGCATTTTGATGAGAGCAGACTTGTACGAGATTGAGAGACGTGATTGAGCCGAGATGATGGTTCAACACAGAGAGAGAGACACCTTGTTTAGAGGAGAGGGAGAGTGACGACCGACGATATGAGATGAATTTGATTAGCTGAAGCAGAGAAGAACCGAAAGAAATTGACTGAGAGAAGACGAGAGGAGGAGAGAGGAGAAAGCAGGAGAGCAGAGAGACGAGAAGAGAATTGAATGGACGGGGAGGGGAGTCAAACGAAGAAGAAGGAGGAGCAGATGGTAGATTGAGAAAGCCGATTTGAGTAGAGTTGAGAGTGAGTAGACGCATAGATGGAGGGGCGCACGACGACCGCAGAGCAGAAAAAGGGTAAGAGAGAAGAGAAAGGAAGACAACAAGAAGAAGACTGAGTAGAGAGAGGAGAGAGCGGATGAGAGAAAAGAGAACGAAAGAGGAAGAGATATCGACGGCCAGAGGCCGCGAGACGAGAGATTGAAGAGTCACCGCGATTGCGCGAGAGCAGAGATGCACGAGAGCACGAGTACGAGCACCCACGAGTAGATTGATGAGATGTAGAGATGAGATGATGTAGATAGTAGATGTTTCGAGACGCAGAGAGAGACGAGAGACCTGAGAGAAAGATTCGAGAAGAATGAGATGAAAGAGAAGAGATTGAGATGAGCGGAGATGAGAGAGAGAGAAGAGCAGAGAGAGAGATAGAGAGCGAGTTTTCAGAGAGAGGAGAGAGACAGAGAAGAGAGAGGCAGAGACCGATGAGGCTTTGAGTAACGCAAGTATGATATGTTAGAGAGAGACGCCAGCAGGGAGAGAGAGGAGAAGCCCCAGAGTTTTGTTAGTTGGAGAGTTGTTGAGAAGAGAGACGCTGAGCCTGTAATACATGTAGCGTTATTAGAAACAAGGAGACTCGCGGGGTGTGGGCCAGATGTTTATCACAACGACGCAAGAGATGATGAGGTGGGATAGTATAGCATCCATGCTGATAAATTAGAAGCAATAATATATGCTCACTATACTGAGTGAGTAGTCGCGTAACTGCGTAGCTATTGCGGATGCATTTTAAACTTGTGCTAGGGGACATATGCGCTCTATGCTTTATAACTGATGTTTGTCTTGCTCAAATCGGCACCACCCTCTCCGCCCCTAGCCACCGAAAATGCCACCGTTATACGTTTCACCTCGCTCCCTGGCCAAGCCGATTGGGTGATGTTTCGAGCTCTGAGTATGTCGCGTAATTAGAGCTTGTGTGTATACTATTTACTGTTGGCTGTTGTTCGTATTGGCACGATAGCGAGAGAGATATTGTCAAGGGTGTTTTGACTCTGGGGTGGAGTGGCAAGAAAGGGCTAAAGTGTAGCCATTATGCTGTTTGAGATTGTTTGCAGTATATATAGGCAATAGTTTCACAGATCCTGAAAGAATCAATGTTTAAGTTCGTGCTTACCGCCCACCACCTCGTTGCATAATAGGCCAGCAATTTTCTCTAGTGTGGTTATTTAAGCATATGAAGGGGGCAATGCTGGCCTGACGGAAAGAAGTGCTTGCGGCAGCTAGTCACGCAAATTTTCGTTGAATCTATTCTAATAGAGTTCCAGTTCTATGCAGCTCGCCTTTTTTATGAGTCCCTGCGGATTCGTGATCAAGTTGAATTATTCGGTCATTTCCGGTAAAATATGTGCCAGCCCGAAATCTCTTTTTGAAATTCCCACTAGCGGTTTATTGCTATGCTGACTATTCCCCTCCTTTTCTGGGCTAAGCGAAGGCGGGTTTTGCGTTAAATAAACGGGTTATCGTTGAAGCGAGCTCGGTTGACCGATTATTATGGAAGCGTCAAAATGTGTCGTGCAGTTCAGGAATGTCTGATAAGAGAGCTAGTCGTGAAGGAAGAAGCAGAGCGTTGAGGTGGGTGGGCCCGCACCAAAATTCTTTATGTGAGCAATACAGTTGTATTCGATGGAGCTGATTCCATTGTGGAACCACCTTTATCTATTTCATGCGAAATATTTTTTGCTAAAATCTAGAAAAAAACCAGGCCCCCAGCTAGAAAAGGATGAAATAGAAGAATAACAAGAACATGCAATAAGGAGGGGAGGCCTGCATTCACGAAAGTGGGATATCCTGACCATGGGGAACCCTCTGTGTATCGCCTCTGTCGCAACTTGGAAGATGAGCGAAATCTGGATTAGCGGTTGCGTTTAAAGATTTTACCTTGCAGAATGCGAATGATGTAAACTCCATATAAGGATTATTCGGAAGGTGTAATGCTCTGGCTGCTGATGCACGGTGGTAAGCTGCAAGTAGGGCAGGCGGTGAATGTGATTCACTGACACGGATACAGACTGATTGTATTTAGGGCTCTATAGAGCTGCAGCGCACGGCTGCCTCTATGCAGTAACCCTGGCTGTTGTTCACTCGTGTGTGGAACAGATGTGGCTGGCTGTCATGCTTGCAGGGAAAGATTGAATGGGTTTTGCGCGCGATTGGAGTGTATCTTGATTGTAGACATGTTTGCTAGCTCCGAAACAAAGAGAGTCACGTGAGTAATTATTTTAAAAGTGCCTAAGTTATCCTCTATCAACTCGACACACCTGCCGACGTCACCACGCGCAGCGATGTAACGAAAAAGACTGTGTCTCTCTACGTGTACGGCTAGGTATCGTGTTACGAGGAATAATCCAGTCCTATTGTTGTAATTCGAAAAAAATAGGAGTGAATTTATATAATTAGATCTTATTATTCATCCGGAAAGGAAACTACAAGCCGCGGTCGCTTTGATGCACATTGAACAACGTAGAAACGACAGAAAACACGTTACATCAAAAGATTATGGATGGCGAACGTAGGAGTTTATAAGCTTTGGAAACTATATGTCTGAAGTGTCTGTGTGAGTTCGCGCGCTCTTCAGCGAGTTAACCGGAACCGTGGCTGAGGTCTTTCTTTGCAAGCACCCGCTATGAGTGTGTCATCGAGGTGTTCGAATTAGTAAAACGCATCATCGGGGCTCTGCGCGTCCGCGAGCAAATGTTCATCCACAGTCATCCATAAAAATTGCATTCACACAAAGGCTCGCCCGAGGTATAAACGGCCGCGCAGACAAATCGCCGACGTAAAAGGTTCGTTTAGATGGATTTAACGGAGGATTGAAACCGTACAGAATGCAGTCTCGTTGTTTCATTCGTTTGT